AAAGAACAGATGTTTGCACAATTACTACTGCTGCAGTAAAAACTATAAAAACAGTGGATATTTTCAAACAATTACAAATTATCAGAGAAAACCGTGTAGATGATGCTCTATGGACTTGGTTTTAGGATTAGAGTTGATTTCAGATTTTTCGAAAAGTCTGACAGTGCAAGTTTAATAATTCTGGCACTGTTTCAGAACGTAGTTGCATAGATTTAGTCAGCTTATTTACTGATTTTTGTTTATCATTTTTAAGGTGCATAGAGGATAGTGCTCCCCGCATCCAGTTTCATGCGTTAATAATCAATTATAGTATTTTAGTACCAGTCTTATTATTCAATTAAAAATCGATTATGAAATTGAAATTGAATTCTATTCAATTATAATACATTTAATCATATTTAATCGATTATTTATCCATATATTGTTCAATACAAGTATAATTGATTATAGTTGATTATAATAAATTATAATTGATTATAATCGCCTATTTTTATCCCAATTTCTAAATCATATAGTTTGCACAAAAAGTCCATTATAATCAATTATAATAGATTATAATCCATTTTTGCATATACGATTACTTAAGCTTTTCGTAGAAATTAGTTTGTGTGGAAATGGGAAAATTGTTTTACCAGTATTCAATTCAATTCAAATTTATACCATTTTTGAAATTAGTTTTTCAACTCGATTGTTGTTAAAATTTCTTAACCACCAAAATATCAGCACATTCATTTATTATTATCTGCACGTTTTATTATTTATTCCAAACAGTTATTTATCACCTACCGCGGGAACTTATCAACTAATATGGTGGGATCTCTACGAAATATTTGTTTCGTGGTGAAACTTTGTGTTCAGATGACCAAAGTGTGACAAGTTATTTTCATCATTTTAGAGATTTCGTTTTTGACAAAATAGCTAAACTATAATCCCTTAGAATTGATTTTTCTTGTGTGATAATATTTTGACAGAGAAAAGGATTATAAGCTATTAAAAAGATTATAGGAGATTTTCGGAAAAATTATTATCAATTAAAATTGATTATAATTTATTATAGTGCCACTAAAATCATCATCATTATAATGGATTAAAAATCGTTTAAACATCTAATTTTGGCGCTTATAATTAATCATGGTTTCAATAAAAGTAACTTTATAATTGTAATATAATCGATTTACTTTTTTTTCTACAGAGTGTGGGTCTGGATATAATTATGTCTTCCGGTAAATTTTAGCTTGTATTACCTTGTTTTTGATTAGTTTTTTAACTTAACTAGTACCAGTCAATTGATGTTGATCACAGTTGAAGATATCACTTGAATGCTAAAAATCTGACGTAGATAAAAATAAAACTGAAGAGACAATTAGAAATTTATAATTAAGTTGTAGTGCGTGAAATGTTATGTGAGCATTCACAGACTCAGCGCGCAGATACCTTGCTTGCTTGAGTATCTGAATGCTCTTATAAACATTTCACGCGCAGCAATCAAAGCTTTTTTCTGTCCCTCTGCTTATTTTTGCTTTGGCGTTGCCAAATTTATAGCTTTAAAGTGATATGTTCAAATGTAAACAATACCTATATTTTGTTTGTGATTTTTAGAGATACAAATGAATGAATTTGATAAATCACCATGTAAATAGTTTAAAGCCGAATTCAAATTGTGAGGCTGAGGATCAAGATGTGTTAGAAAAATAATGTGTAATTAGTTCTGATCAGGGAGAAAATATCCAATTTAGTCTTTCATTTGATTTCACCTGCTTTTATTTTGAGAAAACAGATTTCAAACCAAAGGCGCCAGTAGAGACTATAACGGCTCTCTCATCAGTGAATAACATCGACAAACGACATTCGGGAAAATGTCAGATAACGCAAGCAAACAAAAAAACTGACTTCTTTCTGAGAATTTTCTATACTTTCGAATTCAAAAAAAAAACGCTTTTTGAATAAGTAACTTTCATATTCCGCCACAACTTCAGAAAGTTGAGTTTGTTTTTTAAAGTAGATGATTTTTATCCACGAGGGATAGGACCAACATACGAGCTGTACAGCTCATCACGGCGAACCGCTGTTGTGCCCCTGCTTAAGAACTACATGCTTTTTTTTGTTATTTTTCTGGGCTGGGTAATGTTGCCTCAGCCTCAAGCAACGAGCACGGATCATGGTGGGCCTCGAACATCCGACCTTTCGATTGAGAGGTGGAGACGTAACCACTTCACCACTGCTCCCCGCGTAGAAATCATTTGCGTTTTTATGAATTTTATTTTTGGTAATAGACAAAAGAGCTTGCTTTTTTGTAAGCAAAAAAAGTAAGCTGGATAGAAAAAAAATCAAAAATCAAACCACGGAAATTTAAAACTGAGCGTGCACAATCAGCGGAAATGTAAAATTGAGCGTGCACAAAGTTGCACTTAAAAATTAAAACAAAAAATGCTCATAATCAACACGATTATGTGTCTTCACTACCTTGTTTTCCTCTAGGCAATGATAATCCAGACAAACATCAAAAAATAATTTTAAAAGAAATTTCGGATTTTTTTTTTTGAGTTTTCTCTCGTTAACTAAAAAAAGTCATCAATCAGTCAATAAAGCTTTTTGTCGTGTTTTGCTGTTCTTATCTTGGGGAAGGTGGGGAGGAAATAACTCAATTGATCATTAAATTCCGGTTTGATAGGAATATTTGGTATCAAAAATTGCTCAATTGATCCATTACTTATTCAAATTAATTAAGACCTTAACTATATGTAGTTTTTGAAACCTAATTTTGCAATTTTTATTACGGTTTTTTACTGTCGAGCTGCAAATTTTTCATTCTATTCCCAGTTAAACAAAAAAACACGTCGTTCAACAATAACTACGTGATTCAATCAAGTCATCTAAAAAATTCTAAAAATTACCAAAAAAAATTGGACTTTGAAGATTTTCTTTGCAGGAAATGTTTGTATAATTACACTAGATGAGGTGTTAGATAAATAAAATGAGAGGACATAAAAACCACAATTCAATTAGACAATTTTGTCATTTTCGTAAATACAAACACATATACGGCCAAATTATTGCTATTATAATATTTCAGAGCTAGTGGAAAAATAGTAACAATTTGTAATTTGGAGAGAAATGAATTCAAGTTTTTCGATACAAATTAAGTGTATTTTTAGTATAGGATGATTTTTAATGCAATACTGGATTTAGTAATTTAAGTCAGCATCCCTTCTTGAAGCGACCTGTCATAATGTCGTCAACCGATTTCCAAAAACATAACCAACAGACGATTGGAAAAGAATCAATGAAAAACTAAAACTTTTGAAATGAGTCTTCGAATATTAAATACTTTTCTTTTACAAAAAATGCTAGTCATAGTGGTCCGTTTACAAACACAAGCTACTCATACAATTGATTTAAAAAAATTGGTACTCATACGAGTCAAACAATTAAAAAATGTGATTCATGCTATTTTCATATGATTTTTTTTATCTGGATTTGTACGGAGGTGTGCAATGAACATTACTTCCGCTAACAAAAATCAGCCCGAGGCAAAACTGTGTATCTTGTAAAATGTGTGCGGATTCCGCAATAAGGACATTTTCTTTGATCTTAATTTGTTGTTTCGTTTTCCTTGATCGTTGCGACAAAAATTTAACGTGTTTAAAGACTTGCTTCTGTTTTCAGAAGACCTACACACATCAAACAGTGCGCCTATTCCTCGTAATGATTGTATGAACATTTTTGTAAAACTGTGATGGCATAAGACGTTACAGAATTAGTTGCCGCTGCGGAATTAATTATACTGAGACAAATCAAATGCAATTCATACTGTTTTTGAAGATGAGCACGAAGTTTGAATGTACAAAAGATCAGCTGAAGGAACTATTCAGGTATCTTGTAAAACGGAAGCGAAACTAAACAATATTCTGTGAAAAAAAAATTTTTTTGAACCTCAGTTAGTTTTTGTTGCTTCAGAACCCTCATTTTCCCAAACGGCTCAAAAATATGGAAACATTTGGATTTAACTGAACATTTTTCACTATTTTTGTTCCGAAAATTTGAAAATGTGGAGAAACCTTGTATTAGGATGTGTTTTACTTTTTTCTTTTTTCTTTTTGTTTTTCAAGCAAAATCAAGTATTACAATTAATCATCGGAATGGGTCGAGTAATATTATATCTAAGCCCTTTCAGACCTGATTCGAACGATATTTAAAAGGTTTCCAAATTTTTCTTTCCGGTGACTAGAAAAAACCGGTTTAAACCTTTTTGACTATTTGTCTAAGTTCGATCGAGTACATTCTTAATTTAGGTCGTTTATAACAGCTAATCTATGCTTAACTTTAGTTTTACTCAAGAATAAGTAGTTTCCAAAAACTCAAAAAAATTCTTCAAAAAAAATTGAATTTTTTCAATGATTTTTTTTTGTGTTTTTCTAGTAACTTTTTCTTCAGAAACTGTTCTCAGGTTGTCCCCTGTTTTGCTGTGACTAACGAATATGCCTAATTTAAACATTTTTGTCCGGACTTTTTTATCACACGAATTTGAAAGAAAAAAATTGTGTGTTTTTTAAAACTATGGTCAGAACCTTCTGCGCTACTTGCACAGTAACCGGCTATCCTTGTTATACTTTACGATTGTCCATTTTTTCATTGATTTTTGTCATTCTTAATGCGGTTTGGAGAAAATGGGCTAAAATTTAAATTTTAAATAACGAGTTCAATTTGCCTACAACAAAACAAGATATAGGAAGAATGATTGAAGCGACTTTGCTTACTTGATCCAAACTCGTTGCAAGCATTGCAAGATTGTCAAGTTCATGGAAGGGGAGCGTCCGCGTCCTGTTCCTTAAGTCCGTTTGTGTAAAAAACTTATGTTAATTTCTATGAGTAAGCAATAGTAGACCGATAAGCAAAAATCTTTACGTTTTGTGATACATTTTATAGTAATGATGATGATATAGTCATCATAATCTTTTGTAACACGTATTCTTGGAATATCTGTTAAATAACGCCCTTACCTTCATTAGGCTGTGTTTTTGTATTGTTGTTTTTGATCACTTCAACGCATCTTGGCTCGAATGTTCCACGCCTCCTGCTTCTTTGTCCACGTGGTTCTTCTCCATTGAAATCCGAGTCTAAAAGTCCAAGAGGAGGTTCGTCAAAGTGTAAAGTGTTTACAAGTGTTTCCTGGAAGTTCTCGTCATCCTCATATTCAGAACAGTACTTTTTGAGGCCTTCTTGGTCCACGTCTACTTTACCCTCGAAAAACTGTCTTCTCTTTTTTTCGATTTTGGTTTTCCAGTGTTGAGAAGAGCCGCTGTTTTTTGATGGCTTAAAACTGTTTACGCTTAACGCGATCGAACTTTCCGAGCTACTGTTGGAAAAATCCTTGAAATCGGGCGCTAAATTTGCTGCATTAGTGAACCCTCCTCCCAAGTATGATGATTTGGACTTTTCGTGAGCTGTTAATGAGTCAAAAGTTGCATTCCGCTTTTTTTCTGAGAACTTTAGCGAGAGGTCACTTTGGCTGACAGAGTTGGCCACTTCCTTTCTCTGCGGTGTCGAATCTGTTTGTGGGCATGATTTTGCGTCTGTTATACGTTTGCGAGCTTTTGTTGAGTCGTAATCTGCATCTGGCTGATTTTCTGGAAAAATTAGCCAGAAGTGAAACTGGAATGGACAGGAGTGCATAAAAATCAAGGTTTTGACAGGTTTTTTAATGATTTTTGTACAAAGTTTTAAAATAGGTGGAATAGAAGTATTCTGAAGAAAAATGCATGTGTAAGTATTCGGAAATTTTTGATACTTCTAAGTCACCTCATGTTAATTGAATAATGCAGAGCTTTGAAAAAAATGAGCATTGCATAGCAAAGCGAAGAGCTGAAAATATCAAATAGTATATGCATAAAGTATGAAATTTGAAAAAAACTTTTGCAAGTTTTAAGAATTATTTATTTCAGATAAAATCTCAGATCATAATAAACAGTGTTCTTAAGGTTTTTCTCAGATTCGAAAAGTCTATTTCAGATTCGAGTTTCAGAAACAAAACACTTTAAAATTTTCAATCGATAAAAAAATAAAATTGTGATCAACATTTTAGTGCGGGATGTAGCGTGATTAGGGCTGAATTCAACCCGCAATGTTGTAGATAAAAATATGATTAAAAAGAACGTGTTATAAGCTTTAGAAGTTTGTTATACAAATTTCAATCTTCCGCTTTATTTCATGTGATTTAATTTCAAAAAGCCAAAAAATATAAACGTTAAGTAGATTCCTTGAATGGTGAGGGGGCGAGTTTCAAGAACGTTCAGATGATTTTTGATTCATACTTGTTTACTTATTTAATTTTGGATAATTTGGATAATCTTTACAAAAAAATTGCAGTTTTTAGAAGAATCAACAAAAATTTGTGGAAATTTTTTACGTGGTTTCAGTTTAAAAAGGAAATTATCTAGCTACTAAAAAATTCGAGGTATCTTAGCTTGATTTTCAAGAAACACAATCTAAGCTTCCATGCATGATTTCTAAGTCTTAAAATTTAAAAGTTTGGTGCAATTGAAACTATTTCAGGAGAAAAAATATGATTTCTTGGGTCCTGAAAAAATTTGCCATCTTATTGAATGTCCTTGTATTTGCTGAACACTTCGGTATGTATATTTTGTATTGTTTTTTTTAAAATTCACTTCGCTAAGTCCGCAATAATTTCAAGTTGGTATTATTTTTTTGACAACAACTTTGAAATTTTTAGAAAAATCAATTAAAGTTTTCCTAATTTTAGGTGGTTTCCGTTCGAAAAAAAACAATTCGAGCTACTACAAAGTTTGAAACATCCTAAACTGTTTTTTTGTTTCATCATAATGGTATTTTTTGAGAAAATTTTGCAATTTTTGGAAAAATCAAGTAAAATTTTTTTATACTTTTTATACCGGGTTTCAGTTCAAAATAAAGTTTTCAAATTTTTGCAAGGCTTGAATATCCTAAATTGATTTTCTAAGAACCCAATCTTACCGTGCAAAAACCCAATGTAACCTTCAAACAAATCTGAAACTTTATATTTCATTTAATTGAAACCTTTTTAGGGAGAACGGAAATTCTTGAGTCTTGAAAAAACTGTTGTCGTTTTATTGAATGTTGTTTTAATTACCAGACACCTGGGTTTTGTGAAAAAATTTATTTTGTTGTTTGCATAAAAATGCACATCGAAACCATCTGATCACCAAAAAAACTGCTTGAAGGTCAAAACCTAAAAATCTAAAAAACCAAATCTTGTAGAAAAATTATAAATGGGATCTCGGTTGTGTTTTTTGAAAAGCACGGAAAGTAAATTGTTCAGTCTATAAAAATCCACAATTTTTTTGAGCCGCTCCTAAGTGAAATATATTTTATCTCATTTGAAAAGGTTATGGTTGATCGTCAAAAATTGGACGTCATTATTGACAGCTGAAAGGAGCAATTTGGATTGCGAGGGTGTCGAAATCTTAAGGGAGGAGCGTTGGCTTCTATGTTATTTATAACGTATAAGCATTGATAAACGATACACAAACACCGTGATTTTTTTTATTGAGTAATAATTATAATCACACGCACCTAAGTTTTTTCTAATAAATCTTCTCGGAATACCGATTAGAGTTTGAGCTTACCTGCATAATAGTTGACGCTTGTATGGTTACTATTGAACACTTCAGCGTATCTTGGGTTCAAAGTTTCATGCTTTCTGTTGTGTTGGTCACGTGGTTCGTGTTCATTGATATCCGAGGCCCCAAATCTAAGTAGAGATTCATCAGAGTGTGAAGTGTCGACAATTGTTTCCTGGGAGCTATGGTAATCCTGATATTCAGAACAATTTTGTTCGAAGTTTTCTTGGTCTACGTCTTTTTTGCCCTCGAAAAACTGTTTTCTCTTTTCTTCAATTCGGTTTTTCCAGTGTTGAGAAGATTCGTTGTATTTTGATGGCATAAAACTCTTCAAACTTAACGCTATTGAGCTTTCCAAGGTGCTGTGAGAGAACTCCTGGATATTAGGCGCTATATTCGCTGCACTAGGGAATCCGCCGCCCAAAATTGACGATTTTGGGTTTCCGTGAGTCCAAAATTTGTGAGCAGTTAATGAATCATAAGTAGCATTCCGCTTACTTTCTGAGAATCTCAGCAAGAGTTCACTTTGGCTGACAGAGTTAACCTCTTCCTTTCTCGGCGGAGTGGAACTTGAATAAGTTTTTGGTTTGTTCATCACTTAATAGAGTCAATAATTGGCTGAAACAAAAGTAACTTGAGTGTAATTTTGAGCCGTGGATAAATACTAACCCATTTAAAGACCATCGAAGTTTTAAATGGAAGTACAATCAAATAAGGCTTGCCTAATGTAGTCGTTGAATAATTATAAATTCACAAAACTACACTAGTGGACAAAAATTAAGGAAAATTTCAAGTTTTTTTTTCTAAAATCCGTGTTTTCAAGAATTATTTTGGCCAACATACAATGGGAAATCCAACAACATCTTGGATATACCCAGTGCAAATGATCAGAGCTACGCTCTATGAAGAAAACTTAGTTTTCAAAGACTTAAAAATATTGTTTTTGTCTGAAAATGCCAGTTTTCACCATCTTAATGGTTTGTTCAAAACGAGTGAAATTTTAAGAAACAGTTGAGTTTAATATAGTTGTCATACTAAACAATTCACAAACATTGCAAAAGAGTTCGCTCCCATGCAAAACTTAGTGCAGTTGGTGCAAACTGGCCTTTTCAGACACGAAAAAAAAACTGGTAAGCCTTTGAAACCAAATACTGATAGTTTCATGGAGGGTAGATCTGAGCAGGGCAGGACCTAGGATATTTCGAGCTGTCCTAAATTACTATGAAGAACCCACCCATTTTGACCAAATTTTCTGCGCCGTAGGTAAATTTTTCACAAAACAGGCCAAAAAAGGTGTTTTTAGGCACTTTTTGGAAAATTTCTACCAAAAAATTGCGTTTTTTCGGCGCGCGCTCCCCTCTCAAAATTAGCATAGATTGAAGCCGAAGGCGCCTCCTGAAATTTTTTAAGGTCAGTCAGCCAGCCAAAAATGGATATCTCAAAATAGTACAAAGGGGAACCTTTGGGTCGGCAGGGGGTCGAATTCCTGAAGGGAAAGGCGTCCCCCCTCCTAAATCCGCTGGTGGATCTAAGGGTAGTTTTTCTGGTCGATGTAAACTTTTGCTGAAAATCGAAGTAAATGTTGTCTAAAACAGATATTGAAAAAAAAGCGTTTTAGAGAAAAAAAACTGAATTTGCATTTAATTTTGTCCACAGGTGTAACATATCTTTAAATGAAACAGCAGCTGTAACTTCAAAGATATTATTAAAAATCTGTTCAAACTTCAAAGAAGTTTGTTCAAAACTTGTTCACATTGTAAGCTTGAAAGCTTAACTGAAAAAAAAACATTACTGCGGTTTACATGCCAAGTTGAGATCTCAATTTGTACTTCTATGCGTGAAACGTATGAAAACAAGCAGTTCGATCTAGTTCATCACGACGGCAGTCTCAGCCTTGCAACAGTGCACGAAAGTTCCAGAGACACACCCTTTATATGTGTCAGAGGCTTTTTATATGATGCATACGTTTTAACAATTAATTTTTTGTTATATAATGAATCTGACGATAAAGTTGTTTTGACCATTGAATCGAATTTTATTTAAAAGAGAGCTATTATGCTGTTTTTATCGCTGAAGTCCAGAATTTTTATTGGATTTTGGATTCTAGCATTTTTCAGTGGATGTCAGAATTTGTTATGGGTCACATAGGCATACTTTTGAATTATGAATATACTCGTGCAAAATGGCTTTGAAAACCAATGAAAACTGCTAGAATTTAGCTACTCTGAATAAACATTACTTCAATTGAAAAACGCGCTTACCCGTGGAACCCAATACAACCTCGGCTAAGCATTTGTCTTTAAAATCATTTTTATATCTGTTTCCTGATTGTGCTTGCTTGCCAAAGCCTTTGACTTGCTTAAGCATTTGACTTGCGATTCTGCTTCTCGATATTCTATGGAATCCAAACCTCTTTCAAAGTACCCGCATTTGGCATCGTAATATTGTAAATGTGAATTGTATTAGAAAGTAAATTTTAGCGAAAGGTTTTGTATTTGAGTTTAAGCTATCACCAGAACAAAACAGAATTTGTTTTTATTAAAGATGTATTTATGGATTTCATAAACTAAGAGTCCTCGTGATATTAATGACCAAAAACTTCTACTGGCTCAATGTGAATGAAACATTCCGTGAGATTTGGTTCCATATTGAAGCCTTTTCATCCACAAATATGGTTTAGAAAAGACCTTCTATGTAGTTTAATGGATAACAAATGAACCTATTGGATTCAAAATTTGAATCTAATCGACTAAAAATAGTTTTTAATGCGACATTTTGCAAAGCAGAACATGCCATTACGACTATAATCATTCGTTCTATTGTACGCTCACTTTCTCGATTTTAATCAATTACAGACGATTCCGTTCAACGTTTTTGTCATTTGTTTTTTTTCTTATAAATAATTTTAAATTAACCGGAACAACATGTTCTGCTCAGAAATATTTGAGCAATTGATTTGATCAATTAACATCCTATAAAAAAAAGTTAATTTAGTAAATCAAATATCCAGGCAGCAAATAAATGCTCGACTTTACAAATAAGTTAATTTACATAGTATATACTTTATGGGCAACACATTTTCTTTTTACTAGTATAACTACTTACATTTCTATAAAATAAAGTTCAAATTAAAACCATTGTTAAAAGTTACATCATTGTTAACCTCGAAACTACTAAGAATCGTCAGCTGAGTTGCGAATTAAAAATACAAAACTATCGTCAAATTACGATGTCTTTAGAAGAAAACTTCGAGCACGTCATTTGCACCTTGTACATAGTTGTCTGAAATTTTTTTAAGTGTCCGTTTTTTGATATATTGGGATGAGCTAGCCAACGGCAAATTTTCTAGTCCGTGGAAATTGTTGAAAACTTTAACAGCTCTATGTGCACTTCCTTTTTTTCCTATTCCAGTTCAACAGTAAAAACAAGGTTGCATACACAATTTACAATTTGGAGGAACAAAACAATCGGAGTTAAAAATACGAGGTGTGATCGTTTCTGCTGTGTTTTGTAACTGTTTACCAGCATATAGTTCAAAAATAGTGTACATTTTTGATTGCTGGAACAAGCTGTCAGTTAGAAACCTAAATGGTTTATGGTAAATTATGCGTTGCGTGCGTTTTTGGCAAAAAAATAGGTTCTAGAACATTTTTAGAAACGTTACCACAGACAATTATACCATACTCTATAATTGGTTCAATGTAGCAATTATAGTACTTGAGTCTCTGAGGTTCATTTAGATATTGTTTGGAAAATCTTAGAAATCCTACCAATTTCGAAATTCTGTTGCACCAGTTGAGACGTGGCAGTAAAAATTCACTCGATTATCTAGATGTAACCCTAAATATTCTACTCAATCCACTTCCATTATTGTGTATCCATAAATAACATTTTTATTTTTTGAGTGTTTTCCATTAAATTTCACAAATTAAATTTGCAAAATAATTGGACTCAGAAGATTGACTTTTAACCAAGTAGAAAAAATTGAAATCACTTCTTTCATCAAAATTTACGGGTCCTAGTTTGAATAAACAGTTACACTGCTATCAACTGCATACAAACCCACATATGCATTTGTTGTCGAAAAGCCATATCATTATTGTATAATAAGAAAAGTAGATACCCAAAATTGAACCCTGCGGAATCCCGATTGATATTTGTGAAATCTTAGAAGTTTTCTTCTCAATAGCAACGAATTGTTTACGTTTACTGAGATAAGAACTAATTAGCTCGCCAACAATTCCTCTGATGCCCAACATTTAAGTTTAAATATCCGTGTTTTGTGGTTGCCTGTATCAAAAGCCTTACTTAAATCTAAAAAAGTTGCAAACTTTATAACCTTCGTCAATTGTCATATTGATGGACTCTGACAATTTCAGAACTGCTTGACCCGATGAACAGTTTTGTCTAAACCCAAACTGGGAATTAAATAAGATTTTGTTCTTATCAATAAAGGATGTTATTCTGAGTGATATTGATTTTTCTAGTACTTTACTGCGGGCAGTCAGAAGAGATATTGGAAGGTAATTTGATATCTTCGACTTGTGGCCAGGTTATTGAATCGGAAAATTTTTGCAAATTTGAAAAAAGCGGGAAAACAACCTTGACTAAAGCATTTATTAAGAAGAACAGATAAATATTCCGATAAAACAGGAGACGAAAGTTTCAAAAATATGTTGTTGATGCCGTCAACACCTTCAGCGATTGAGTTATTTGATGAATTAATTATTTCAAAAATTTCTGTAAATCCTACAGGGAAAAGGAACATGGAGTTTGTTAGTTCTGGCATATTGGTTGATAACGAAACATTTCAGAATTTTTTGTTCATGTCCTTTCCTACGCTTGAAAAAAATTCGTTTGTTTTTTCTGCATCTAACTGACAGTCTTTAATTCTTATGTTAGGTTCACGCAGTCTCATAACATATTTGAAGAACTTCTTGTTTTTTCTTTAAGTACTCTATCATTTTTAACAGGCTGATACTCTTTTTGAGCATCAGCTATCAGTTTAATTGTCTGACTTCGAACGCTTTTGCAGCGTTCATTGTTAGCCCTTAGTTTACAACGAAAAAAAATTTATGCGTTTTATGCCTTTTGCGAACAAGGTTTTATCGCGCTGTTGAACCAGGGATTTTGGTAAAAATTTGGTTTTGCATTATATTTTCTGATAGGGAAAAACCTATTTATTTTGGATTGCAATTCCTTTGTTGTTAAATCAACTAGACAATCTATATCATTAAAATTCCAATCAACTTTTATCCAAACAAATCTTCAATTTGTACAAAAATTTGCAGACTGTATCATCATCCGAATTTTTTCCAATATTCCTACGCCAGACAAAAGGAGGTCTCTTTTTGTCAGGTATTAGAACTAATCTCATTGGTCAAAACACGATTAGTTATAACATGGTCAATGCAACTCTCTCGAGTTTCCCTCATTCTCGTCGGAGCTTTTAAGTTAGTTATAAAAACACCCATAAGACTGATTCAAATGGATAAGACTGCGTGTTACTTTGTTGTCTTATTTTGTGCTGATATTAAAACCTCCCACAATATAACTTTAATTTTTTTTTTTCATTTTATTTCATTTGTAGTAAGGTAAGGTCAAAACATACATTAAAGCCCAAGTTGACATCAATTACATCTAAGTAATTTTTGACAAAAATTGCTACAACGCCCGCGATGCTTTGTTTTTAAAAGATGATGAAAAGAATGATTGATAGCTATCGTCTTTTAAAGAATTTTGTTTCGTTTGTTTGCCAATTTTTACTCGAAACAATAACTGTCGGGTTAAAACTATTTGATTGCAAATAGCGCAAGGATTTAAAATGTGTTTTCTGAACTATACCAAGGTGTTTTCATAAGTTTAACAACTATGTTATTATACAGCTTCGATACAACACAAACACAGATTTTAACCGAGAACAAGAAAAGTTTCAATAGAGGAAAACACATCGAAAAACAGAATAGCCTTCGTTAAAAAAGTTTCAGAAACATTCATGGAGAAACAAATTATCTGACAAACTTTAAGATAAACTCCGGTTGAGCGGGTGGCAAAAATTATACAAGGCAAATTTTCGATTGTTCAGATATTCAGAAGTTTTGCAAACCCGGAACTTTTTTGAACATTTCCCGTTGAAGTACGCAAAAATTTATCAATAAAGCTATGAAACACGAACTGAAATTGTTGAGGTAAATGTCGAAAATTCCTCTAGCCCATATTGACACCTTAAACGCGTTTTGTTTTTCCATTGAATTGTCATTGGACGAGTGTTGATAACAACAGTCGCTGAGACCTTCATCAGTGTTAATTGAGGCTCAAAATTTTACCATTGAATAGGGTTTGTGTTAGAATCCTCTGCTGAATAAAAATTACGGCAAAGCAATCAGATTAAATACTGAGCAAACAATATTAAAATGAACCGTTCATGTAGCTTAATACGGCTGAAAAAAGTTTTAAAAATTCCACTTTTCGTGCAAAACAATTTCTCTTATGTCAATTCAATTTGAGAAACACGCGCTTCAGGCTTACAATGTTATTCGTTTTGTCCTATTAATTTAAATCAGCACTGTATGTTAAACAATCGACGTTGAGCAGTGTCCGGAAATGTCAAGAAACAAAGATAAAGAAACTACTTTCCGGAATTGTGATTCAAAACCAAATGCGTACAATTCTTCATATCACGGTGTTCAAAAACGGGCAACATTCGAATCAACAAGTCAAAAAAGGACACTTTCAGTAGTTTTGGTTTTAAAGTCGACAAAATATCAGCAGACTAGCAAAAGCGCAACAATTTCTGGAAACGGGTTGTTTAATTTTTGAAAAAGAAACTAGTGTTGGTTAGATTCAAACCCACTAAGGCTTTGCCGCTCAAAAGAAGTTCTTAGCCTTTGGTCCAAGAGTTCCAGATAAGCTGAGAACATTGAATTTTTGGTAAGTCAAGCAATTATATGATTTTGTTAATTGATGTCAAAAAAGTCTACAGCCCGATTTGATAACGCTTGCTAGTCATAAGCACAATTGTTCTAGTATGAATTTAAATTATTCAAGCAACATCAAAAATAAAAACGCGGTTTTTTTAAAGGGGATCTGTCATTGGATGTGTGATGAGAACAACTGTCGCTTAGACTTTCATCCGTGTTAATTGAGGCTCAAAATTTTACCTTGGATTTGTTTTTTTTAAGCCCTCTGATGAATAAAAGTTACACTAAAGCTACCAGATCAATTACTGAGCAAACAATGTTAAAATTAACTTCTCATGTAACTCAACAACGCTCAAAAAAGGTTTTAAAAATGCTATTTCGTGCATATCAATGAAAAGTTGTTATAAAAATTAAAAAATGTGTTCTAAGATTTAATGGGTTCTTCACTTTTTGTCTCTAATGTCATTCCAATTTGAGAAAATAATGTTTGAGGCGTACAATGCTATTCATTTTGTTCTTTAGTTTAAAGGTCAAGAATGTAAAAGCTATTCGTTACTAGTCAAGAAACATAGATAAAGAAACCCCTTTCCGGAATTGTGATTCAAAACCAAGTGAGTACAATTCTACAACGCACAGTGTCCAAAAACGGGCAACATTCGACACAAAGAGCAAAAATGGACACTTTTCAACATTTTGGGTTGTAAAAATTTTTGAGAATTTTCGCCTGGGGGATTGAATCGTTTAATAACCATCGCCATTCATTGCAAAAACAGGGAAGGAGAAGATTCGTTTGAAGGTTTAGTATTCGACTATGCATACCGATGAATGAGTTCAAAATCATTTAGTTATTCTTCCTTGTGTGAATTTTAAACCATGTATTTGATAATTCAGCCAAAAGAAGACTGCTCGTATCAGGGCGAAACCCTGAATGATCCTACTGCCTTTTAAGGTCTATGCAGCAGTAATAACATGGAAATTTTAAATGTAATCAAATAAAAATAATTTTTTTCAATTAGAGATTTTTTGTGAAAACATCCCCCCACACCTTATATTTAGTACAAAGTGATAGATTTTGCTCCTATTAACAAATCAGTTATGGCATATAATTTTCCTTGAACCATTTGGAACGATTTCTAAGACGTACTAAACCTCGCTTACGCGTTAATAGCTCGAAATATATCGCGAGTTATTTGTCATAAATTGGCCAAAATGGTAATCTTTAAACCCCCATAACTTTACGAAAAATGATCACCGGTTTCAATTTTAAGCTTAGGACAACAATAGCTTTCGAATGATCTTAAAAAATCCCGTCAAAAATGGCTAGTTAAAAAGTCAAAATTTGTCTGAAGAAAAAAACCCACCCCGAGCACAACTAGTCCGTGACTTTCGTTATTTTTCTAGAAAAAAGAATTCTGCCAAGTTTAATTATCAAGTAAGCATGCCAGATTCAGATACAAGTCAAAGACAACGAGTCAAATTAAAATATAAATTTTGCTGAAATTCTTGAACATTATTTCCCAACTGACCTATAGTCGAATTTTAAACGTGTTATTACAGTTCCTATTAATAAATAATGTGTATATTATGGTTTTGTTTTGCTCTATTTTCCTTAAAACATATTTTTGACAAGATTTTCCTAGGGAGAATGTATTAACCGAAATTGACAAGTGCTTTGTTTGCTCGGTCGGCTCTAAGAACATTTCTTCTTTTAAGTCAAAATCAACCAGAAGGTTTGAAAGAAAAACAGAGTAACTAAGCTGTGAGTTGATTCAAATATGAGATTTTAATTTCTTAGTATCGAATGTTCTTTAAGCGAGCACGGTACTAAGGTACAAAAGAAGCGAGAAAACGTCCGAAAAAGAAGTGCTTTTTACAATTTTAGAGCCTAATATTTGCATGTTTGGACTTAATTTGCTAATTTAAAGTCATCTTGTGTCCCAAGATGACTTTAAATTGCTAGCAACCTTTGATAACGGTTGCTAACAATTCGTTTTGGATCCGTGTTGATCTCACCCAGTCCATCGGTTCCAACGGAGTCTTAAATTTTTATGAAAAAATTCAAGTTGACTTTACCTGAAAATGAAAACTCTTTTTTTTTTCAATAACAAATAAACCGATTGTTACAGTAAATTTTTATACTTTTCTTTTTTGTTGGAAATATGCAATAAAAGAATAACATTTTGCTCTTGGTATAAAATTGAGAACCAGGATTTTAATTCAATGACAAACTTGAAGAAGGATTGTTGGTTATTCGGTTTTTTCAATAAAATGACTCATAAAAGTGGACCAAAAGTGGTCTTGAAAAAGTCAATTAGGACTCAGTTGACGCACTTGGAATTCATTTCCGGATCGACCAGCGGGTGACCCTTAGAATTGAATCAATTACGATCGAATCAAATTCGGAGGCCCCGTCCCATTAAATGAGGATATTATATTTACTTATGGTCAATAAAGACTCATTTATTTGCAAGGAAAAGGTTCAACATACGAGCTACTTGGCTCACCTGTAAAATACATATGCTTTATTCTTCCCCTTTGTTAAAATGCATATTAGGTTTTTTTATATACTTTTACTAGGGTCTTTTTGTATTCGAATCAAACTTAATAGCTGCAAGTTAACTGCGGTTTACCATTGCGTAAATAAGGCGCAGACTTTCAATTCTTTTTTGAAAAAATTTTTTTGTTCCGGTATTTGAGAACCATGTGATTTTTCTTCAGTCAAAATTCAATTTTCAAAAAAAAACTAATTTTTGAGAGAATTTGGTTTTGGTTAGGTTATGTGATCAATCATACAATCTTCAGCTTAAGTTAAACAAGATTGCTCGTATGGCAAAGCCCTGAATGTTCCGACTGCCTTTTAAGGTTAATGGAGCAGTAACAACCTTAAAAAGTTAAATGTAATAAAACAAAAAGAAATTTTTCTCTCTATAAATTGAAATTTTTTATAAAAATCATCCACCCACACGCCATCATAAGCACAAAAGGATAGGTTTCGCTGTTTGTAACAATTCATTTATGGCAAATAAGCTTCTTTCAACCAATTTAGAACAATTTTTAAGACAGGATAACTCTCCGCTTACGCGTTAATAGCGCGAAATATATCGCGTTAATTGTCCCAAATTGGCCAAAATGGCAATCTTTAAAACCCCATAATTTTACAAAAAATTATCACAGGTGAAACATCTTTTCAATTTTGAGCTCAGGACAACAATACCTTTCGAATGATATTTTAAAAGTTCCGTCAAAAATGGTTAGCTAAAAAGTCGAAATTTGTCTGAAGTCAAAAATCCCACCCCGAGCACAAATAATCCGTTTCTTTCGTATCGAAATTCGGAACAATTAGCAAAAATCCCAAACATGATTTAAGGCTGAAAAATCATACTTTATGAAACATGAATTTTATACAAAAGCACAGAAAAAAATCATTTGGAAGTTAATTAAATAGTTTGTGTTTCATAAGCTATACAAATGAAAAAAGACTGCTCGTATCAGACCGAAATAAGTTCTATGGAGCTGTGTTCTTTTTATAACAATTAAAGAAATTTTCAAAAAAAAAAGATTTTTTTAACTTTGAGATTTCCTTAATAAAAATCACACCATATAAAATTAACAGTGATAAAATTCGCTCCTAATAGCCTAGCAATTATGACAAATAGCCTGCTTCAACCAATTTGGAACGATTTTTATGATGGATTAAATCTTCGCTTACGCGTTATTAGTGCGAAATATATAGCACGTTAATTGTCCCAAATTGGCCAAAATGGCAATCTTTAATCCCCCATAATTTTACGAAAAATGATCACAGGTAAATTATCTTTTCAATTTCAAGCTCACGACAACAATAGCTTTCGAATGATATAAAAAAGTTTGTCAAAACCGGCTAGTTAAAAAGTCGAAATTTGTCTGAATTCAAAAATCCCACCCCGAGCACAAATAATCCGTTTCTTTCGTATCGAAATTCGGAACAATTAGCAAAAATCTCCAAACATGATTTAAGGCTGAAAAATCATACTTTATGAAACATGAATTTTTACAAATGCACAGAAAAAAATCATTTGGAAGTTAATTAAATAGTTTGTGTTTCATAAGCTATACAAATGAAAAAAGACTGCTCGTATCAGACCGAAATAAGTTCTATGGAGCTGTGTTCTTTCTATAACAATTAAAGAAATTTTCAAAAAAAAAAGATTTTTTTAACTTTGAGATTTCCTAAATAAAAATCACACCATATAAAAATAACAGTGATAAAATTCGCTCCTAATAGCCTAGCAATTATGACAAATAGCCTGCTTCAACCAATTTGGAACGATTTTTATGATGGATTAAATCTTCGCTTACGCGTTATTAGTGCGAAATATATAGCGCGTTAATTGTCCCAAATTGGCCAAAATGGCAATCTTTAAACCCCCATATCTTTACGAAAAAAATTCACAGCTGAAATTGTTTTCTTAAGTTGAGCTCCAGACAACTATACTTTTCAGATAGCATTTTTAAAAAAATTTTGCAAAAAGGCTAGTTAAAAAGTCGAAGTTTTTATCAAAAGAGAAAAACACCCCTAGCACAATTATTTCATTACTTTCTTTGATTCTTCGAAAGTCGGAACAGAAAATTGTGCACAAAAAACTCATATTCCAATCATATTTCATAACTGATATTTAGATTTAATTTTGAATTTTTGCAGTCAGACCACTTTCATTTTGACAGAAATAAAGTTAATTTCTCACTTATTGTTCCGACTTTCGATACGAAAGTAACGGAATATTTGTGCTCGGGGTGATTTTTTTTTCTTCAGACAAATTTCGACTTTTTAACTAGCCGGTTTTGACAAACTTTTTTATATCATTCGAAAGCTATTGTTGTCGTGAGCTTGAAATTGAAAAGATAATTTACCTGTGATCATTTTTCGTAAAGTTATGGGGGATTAAAGATTGCCATTTTGGCCAATTTGGGACAATTAACGCGCGATGCAGACAAGTAAGCGAGATTTAATCCGTCTTGGAAATCGTTCCAAATTGGTTCAAGGAAGCTTATATGCCATAATTGATTTGTTAATAGCTGCAAAATCTATCACTTTGTACTTAATATGACGTGTGGGGGGATGTTTCTTAAAAAAATCTCAAATTTTTTCAAAATTTTTTAATTTTTTTTATCACATTGAAGTTTTTCATTTTATTAATGCTCCATAGACCTTAAAAGGCAGTCGGACTTTTCAGGGCTTCGCAATTATAGTACTTATTAGAATTTTTTGAGGCCTAAAAATAAAATTAACAACAATAAGATAAACTTTACACTGAGAAGTTGCACAAACTTATCCCTACGAAAATAGATAGCATAACTAACAACGGCGTACTTTATCTGAAATTACTCAATGAGTTAACCATGAAACGGTTGAAACTCAAATTAGTTTGTTATTGGCTTCTTTGCTTAATGAGTAGGCTGGTTGATTAGGAGATTTATAATTCTCTAGTCAATTTTTACTCGTATCTCATCTGTTTGTTTTTAGCATGTTATGTTTCTGTTTCCATTGCGTTATAGCTTCAGCTTCCTGTGAATCTGAGCACGAGATGTGAGTCCGTATAACTTTTACTTATTGAACTCAAAATTGTTTATCAACTGCAGCTTTTCAGTGGCTGAAACATATGGTTTTTGACATGAAACAGTCAAGTTTTCGAAACTTGTTTTCAACAACCTTTATGCTTGTTTTACACAACAGGTATCCAAACAAAGTCGATCACCTTTTTCTTAGACTTCCATTCAGAACCTAAATTTGTAAGCAAGCAAAAATTATATCGGTTTATTTCATTGGATCCAGTGGCCCTGGCTAGTTCAACCAGTCCGTTCTGGAAAACGCCCCCGGGTTTCTTAGAAAAAACCATTGGCTGTGGTTGGTTCAACCGACCTGTAAAAAATTCTCTGGATTGTAAAATATGAGGCAGTGGCTCTGACAAGGTCAATCAGTCTGATTTGGGAAACCTCGGAGGTTTGAGGCACCTTTTCCTTCAGCGATTGGACACCCTGATCATCCAAAGATTTTTCAATTTCGTACTACTTTTCGATATCCAATTTCCGCCGAATGAACCTATTTTTTTATCTGGAAGTGTCTTTGACGCCAAGATTTACCCTTTTTGAATTTTGTTCAAAATCCGACATCACTCCATCCCTCCTTTCCTCTTCGATACCCGGTTCCTTTGGACTTAAAACAGTTTGCGACCCAGATTTTAATTCGCTGGATTATCTCATTTTCCAGCCAAAACAGCTTGACGACCCTGGCTCTCAATCAAGCGCTAGTTTTTTTAAAATTCACAACAAATTAAAGTTCTCAGTGTCCATTTTTCCAACCAAAGCGACTTGCAAAAAGGTTCTAGGTTTGTTAAAGGTGAAACATAGACCCAGAAAAACGTGCCTGGGTTGATAAATTTCAAAGAGTAGCTCTGGCTAGCTCAACCAGTGTGACCTCTAAACGTTCCCGGTTCGTAACTGTGAATTACTGGATTTCGCTATTTCCATTCTAACATCTCAAACGTCTCCAGGTTGTTAACTGTGATCTAGTATACCCTCTGGTGGTGAGGGTATGCAGCGTAGCATTTATTTGGAAAAACTTTTGGGTTTTTGGGTTTGTACGTTTGGGAGCACGTTTGGAGATTAAAAAATAGGCCGTCTAACTTTTGAAAATGCGACACTCCTCTATTGAACTCTTTTTTCAAATCTTACTATTCAGTTCATAAGTTATAAACATTATTAAAAATATTGCAGGGCATTAAAAAGTTAAGTAAAGTCTTCTCATTTTCAAGACTAGCTCTCATTTTTATAGCTTATTGTGCAATCAAGCTGAAATTTTGTCTGCGAGAAAATTACCTCCAGACGACAAGGGAAAGAAGGCTGGACTTTTAAGATAAAATATCAGGGTTTTCAACAGACTGGTTTTTCCGGCTCAGAGTAAATGATGCCAAAGCTGTAAATGAGATTTCTTCTGATCATTAGTAAGAACTAAATGCCATGACATATGGTCGTTTTTAAAAAATAGTGTCAACTTCATTGAGCACGACTATTAGCACAGCAGATTAATATTGTGATTTAACTTGCTAGTTGTGCAATAGAAGTAACCATACGTTGCCCTTTTTGGTTTCGTAGATTACATTACATGAACAGGAGAAAGAAGCAATCATAAACTGGGCTACCCGGGAGACTGTCCATGTGAGCCCATCCCTGGAACCATCCCCGGAGCCAGGCCTGGCCAGGT